GGTGCTTCAGCATGACTGCTTAAGAAATCTTAAGAACCCCACGGTTTTTGCTTAATTACGCGGGGGCTCGATATGACGAGACCCTGATTAAACATGTAAAACTGGGTACTCAGAGCTGCTCAATTGCAGTGTTTGAGACAGAAAGGTCAGGGGAAAGAATGAAACCAAGAACAACCATAAAATCGATCAAAATGTCTCATGATTGAACCTCTCATGAACGATACGAACGAATGAGTGGAGCTTCTGTCTATGTTTCCCTTTTCCATTTATTGGTACATTCACGAAGGACAAAAGCTTGTTAATAAGTGGAACTTTTCTGGGTGTAAGACCTCATGATACCTCATGCATTGACTACCAATATCCTTTAACCATATACAGTAATTGAGTCCAAGAGGCTGTGGGTGGCAGTGCACCTTTTTATATAGCACTTTTGATGTTGCGTTTGATCATCTGACGTGTGTAAAGCCTTGCACACATGTTCCCTAAGTATCAAACAAGATTGAAAAGAGTCCTGTTGAAGAGTCACTTCCCTCCCTTCCTTCATTCATAGCAACCATTTTCTTTGTAACAATTGGATTGGATCTTCTATTTAAAAGGGATTCTTCACAATTTGCTTCAAGTGGAGCGTACTAGTCAATAAAAGGTGGCAGCAATTAAACAAAGGAGCGCTGATTTCAATATTGTTCAGTGGCAACAAGTTGTCAAAATACATTTCGGTGATAGTGTTTGTGATTGATGACATCGAAATAAGGCAATAAGGCTGAAACAATTCAGCTAAGTATGGGAGAAGCCGAAGAACCACAAAAGGAGCCAAAATAACAATGCTTGAGGAAACTAATAAAAAGTTAGAAGGGGAAGCGCATTAAACGGAAGAATTGCAAGTCAAGAGTGCTAAGTAACAAACAGTATACAATAAATTGTACAGCGTACGGGACTTCACAAACCAATAAATAGGTCAAGGCTTCAATTTGGGCTCCCTCCATACCAGAAAGAATGGCAAACTGTTTAACACTGGATAGAATCAATCAAATAAGCAGAAAAACACATTCTTGAGTGCGGACTGTTTGTCATCATCCAGGATATGCGCACCAAAGGCATCCTTAGCCTTACATCCTCGACTCTTTGTCCTTTTTGAGGGAGGGATCCAGTTTGCTCCGCCACGCCTAGGTCGCTGAAAGGGCTCAATGAGGTCACGTCCTTGGAAGCTCACTTTGCATGAAAGGAGAATCTGCAGCAGGGGCCTAGCAATGGTGAGGGGCATTGAGAAACATATGAGCCACCGGCAAGTGTCTTGCATCAAATGACATCAGGATTTGGGAAGTGTGTGACCCTTGATTGCTGTGTTTGTCAGTTGCATCAACTTTGGTTAGAATCTGTGTTTTGAGATCCCACATCACTCTCTACTTGTATCTGTCTTCTGTTATTTTTCAACGTACCTCATTAATTTGGTGGCATGAAAATGCGTATATATATATAGCCTATAGGTTTAAACCAATAACGATTGCCAAGCACGTTCCACACGTTCAAGACGTGCTCCAAGTACGCAGCAGACTTGGATTCCGTGGACAAACCTCATCACAGCTGGTGCAAAAATGGTGTCTTCTGTTGCTTGAAACTGCGACACCTGTTGCAGTCACCCTTCGGCTCCGCATGAGGGAACATGATTCCGGTTGAAGGTCAACGCTTTGAAGGTTTCAAAAGATGGGCGCCCGCACCACTTTGCAGCCGATCCACCCAAATGCTGCCAAGACCTATGCTCCTGTGCCAAATGTCAGGGTAAGTAGTTTATTTCTTTGCATAAGGTCTAAGAATCAACCCGCTCTAAGTGTCATCCACAGCCCCGACAAAAGAAAGCAACGAACCCGAATCTCAACTCCAATTGAATTCCAAGACTACACTCAAGACACGCAACGCAAAATCGGAAAGCTCAAGCTTTGTACTCATTCTTCTGTGTCTAGGCGTTGTCAAGTTTGCAAACTCTACTGGCAGCAAAGCTGAACAAACAGAGGAACATCTGGGTATAACGGTATAACCAAGAACCGAATGAGTCATACCTAAACAAAAGTAACATCAACCCCAACCCCAACATCTTGGTGGAAGCTGGACGTCGTACGAAGGGCCGGCCCGGCCTCTGCCTTTTCTGGGCAAACTTGGCCAAACTGCCCGGGGACTTCTCTGGAGTCGGCAGCTCTACCACCTCGGAAGCGACCAGCTAGTCAGCTGTATCGTGGTAGTTTATGGTAGTTTGATGTAAACTGAGCCAATCCACTAAACAAATCTAAACAAACACTTGGTTCCGTCAAAAACCAACAAACTGTATAGCTTCTATCAGTTGTGTTTCGTTTGCATGTTCATGCAATACCAGTGGATCCTTCAGGTCACTCACTGGTGCGCCAAAAGCCCCAATCAGCCAAATCAACTGCCTGTGTCTCTGCCATTCTCTGCTATCTTTCAAGCGAGACATCTGGTTTATTGAGAGTCTAGGCTCGGTCTTTGTCTCGGTCAAGCTTCCAAATGTGAAGCATGCAACATGTGCAGAACGTAGCAGCTCATCTGAGACTCGCGCCGTAGTGGCATCTTTATGCGCACGGTCCTGGTGCCACGATTCACTGATTCACCTTGAAGAGGTCGTGACAGGTCGTCACAGATTTTGTGCGGAGAGGGTCAGCTGGCATAACATGACGTGGCACAACCAAATATCTCCATCAATATCTCAACTAGCTCCCTGCAGCTTCTTGTGAAGAACCCAAGGTTAGTCAATGGAGATGTGAGATGATGTGAGATGATGTGAGCTGTGCAAGTTGGCCGAGGAATGGGCATCCATCCAGCTTTGGACAACTGGGTGATTGCTCGTTTTTGGGGGTAGGGGTTCCCATCATTCCCGGTGAATGCTCCCAAGCAAGCTTCTTAGGCGTCCTGGATGCTCCAGGGTTCGAGGGATGGTGCCGAAGAAGGCCGAAAAACTGAGCCTCCACCGTGCCGACGTGCCAAATGGGTTTCATTCGCGAGTCTTGCATGACGTTAGGATGTCTATATAGTATCATACAGTCATGTCCACGTAAGTCATTTCCTCTACGTCACTACTCTGTGAACATCCGTGAACCTATCGGATCGGACATTATCGGACCTATACATCTCCCTCTCATTAATAGCTTCTAGTAAGGCACCTGTTACTACTAGTAAGGCACTTGTTACTAGTAGCGATGCACTTGTTACTAGTAGAAAGGAATGGATGCTCTCTATCTCTCTCTTTGTAATCTGTGTATGTCGTCCAGGTTGGTCGAAGCCTTGAAGCCGGCGATTGCTGCCTTGACTTGCTGGCCGTGTCAGCCCCATCAGCTGGTGAGAGCATAGCAGGCGGCGTTGACTCAAAATGTCGCTGGATGTCTTGGGCTATGCCTGGGCTAGCAGTTAGCAGCTATGGGTATAACTAGCTAAGGGGGTAAGGCCGTTCAAAGCTTGAAGCTCTGCTGAGGCTTATTTTTTCCTCAACTAAAAGAGCTCGTGAAGTGACCTGCAGTCTGTAAACTCGTTGTTGAGCAACCCGAGTCCAAACAAAAAACATGAAAAACTGCATGCAACTGGTGCTGCTTTGAGCCAAACACAAGACAGGAGCACGTCAATTGGCATTCTTAGACTGACTGGCCCATGGGACATCCCTCACCTAGGGAGCATTTCAAGCACAGGTGAACCAGGCAGAAAAGTGCCCAGTGTTGCCACCCCTTGAAGAAAACACAAAGACACTGACTAATTATGATCAATCATATATAACTCGGGTGCAAGTTCTCTTTTCAGGACCACCTGAAGATTGTGACTCCTGGCTGGCCCCTCCAGCAGAGCAAATGGCTAGTGACGGATGAGGTTCACCATGGATGGCTATGCCATCTTCAAGCCATAACATCCATTTCAGATATTGGTTGCAACCTTCATCACTGACTGCAATTGAATTGACTTACTGGCCATGTGCTGCCTCATCCAAGCAACCCGGGTCTCTTGCGGCTTTTGCGTCTTCAGAGAGCCCTTGGGCGCCCCAAAAATTTCGCTGATGGCTGATGAAATAAGACGGTCAAACTATGCCAAACTAGTCCTCGTGAAAAGACATCTATGCCATGTCAAAAGCTAATAGAAAGGCTGTGCACCTGAGTGCGCCTGCGTCAAGCCTATGCTCCAAAGTACATTGCGGATCGACTGGTCGTGCGCAGAGTCAGCTAGCTTTGGCTTTCTTCAGGCTACAGGCGTCATGTTCCTTGCGGGTTCAAGTCAGGTGAAAATGGTTTGGATTCGGTTGGGATCTGGCAATGTCACGCAGCACCTGCTGAATCAGCAGCGGCAGGAGGCAGAGTCTACATTCGACATCTATTGAACACGAATGATCCAAGAACAGTAAAGGATGGACAATCGAAAAGGCTGCTGGAGAATTCAAGCGTCTGCTCCATTCCCCTCAAAATGTGTACGATTGAACATCCCCCTCCGAGTGATGGCGATTGTAGGTGCTGCTGTTGGTTCCCACTACGCGAACTGCTGCCTTGATGCCACTCTCGAAGTTATCATACCACGCAGAATTCAAGTTCCTTTGATCATGTTGGAGGCATCACGCATGCGTCAAACGACTGTTTGCCGTGACCCGCACACACTGAACTGAAACCTCTTCTTGAACATGGTGAACTATGCAGCACCTGTGAAGCTATGCAGGTTTGTACAACCCTACCAGCTCCTTTAATTGAAATCCGCAAACATTCCAAAAACTCTCTGGGCACCAAGGGGGAGGTGCATCACAAAAACATTCGGTATTGCCAGCAAGTGTCCAGTAGAATGGGCAAACAAAGCCTTTTACTGTTGCAGCATGCTTCAGTGCTATACCTGAATTCGCAGTCGCTGACGAGCAGTTATCACATTGACAACATACTCTACAGAATATGGCTGGCTACATCTTTCTCTGACAGGACGCTTGACAACTAAGAGTCATAATGAACCGTTGGAGGAGATCGGGCAAGTCTTGATTAAGATTTGTGTCCATCAAGTTTTTGATATAAAAAGAAATTCCACGATGTGGGGACTGTTTGGAGCAGGCAGCCAAACACTATGCAAAGAATGACATCTGAAACCGAGACGCCTGCTTTCACAATATTTCCTTCTTCCACAAAGTAAGCATAAACCCCAATGCCTTGTTCGAAAGCGGAGCTGATGCTCGGGAAAAGGAAAACAGGCCGTGCTCATGCTAGGCTGCTAGGTCAGGTAGGCTTACGTGACATGGAGATGTACCACTGCAGGGTATCCGTCAAATGAAGCACAGTGGCTTAACAAGTACTGGTCAAAGCGACTTTTGCACCGGAAATGCTGAATAGATCAGCCAGAACAGCCTGATCGTGCCAATAGCTCCCCAAAGGACAAACAAAAAACTGCTAATGACCTCCAGCTTGCCGATGCCTGTGTGGTTCAATGCATTGACCCTGTAGCCACTCACACCATTTGCCCCATAGTTCGGTGTCTTGTCCCAATCCTGCCGTGCAAAAGAGTCCATTTCGCTCTGATAGAAGAAAGTGGCTCCTCTTTCTCCGTTCCTCAAGGTTTGGGCTGAGCTGTGACAAACAAGGAACAGCGCATTTTTTCGACACATCATCTTGTGCACAAGAAGGTCAGTGCAAGCCGGAGTTCCAAACAACCAAATCCTTCTCACAATGCTCAGAGAAAAGGCCATAAGACACCACATCATCGCCATTGACCACAACTCCATGGTCACAGTACCTACTACGTCGGCTACGTATGTCATTAAAACAACGTAATCATACATAATCCTTCATGAAAAAGTCAGCGAAAAAGCTGGAGCGAACAAGCTGGCCGGAATGATCGGAAAAAATTGCCCGAAACGTAGAGGATTGGAGTTGGAAATTAACTCCAGCACCCACCGACCTGAATTTTTGTTACTGTAATTAGTCTGTTCTTGAAAAATGCGTTGAGCTCGTGATGGTGCCTGATTGCGCAGGCGCCACAACCATCCTGGCAGCAGTCTGCACGCCAAGCCCAAACATTGTCCAGGATCACGTGGTTGCCACTCACTTCAAACCTTAGCTGCTAGCAATCTATGAGTGGCGATAGTGCAAGTACGCAAGTGGCGCCAATGCGGCAAGTAGCATGGTCTTTGCCGAGACAAGCTCCGTGTCAGGTCCACCAACTCGTGCAAAAACATCTGCAATAAGTCCAGGATTGTTCGGGTTGCCACTGGAAGGCTTCCACCACAGCAACCGCTTTGAATGGATCGGACCGGCTTGAAGCAAGAGTCCTGCTACCCTGACCCCTGTTGCTGCACCAATTTCCACCACTGAGTTGCCATTGGTTGGAACAAGGGTTGCCATGCCCAAGCCCAGCAAAACTTGCTGACGGGCTGACGAATTAAATCCAACCCTGATGGGGGCAGGTAAGTGATAAATGCCTGGTGCCAGAATGACATGTCGGCCTAATGCAAGCTTGGCATTGATCATGGCAAGATCTGTGGCGTTTGTTGCGACAAAGACCTCCTCAAAGTCAACGATCGCCTCTTCCGCATTCCAAGTTACACCACGCGCAGATCTTTGCAGCTGCGGTATTCGAAGACTGTACCTGCCATTGGCATCCTCAGTTTGGAACCCTGCAATGGGGCATCTGTAGTGCAGTGACACTCTGCTTTCCTATGGCCCCATACCGGGAACAAAGTATGCTGAGAAAGGAGAAAACGCGCAATCGCAAAAAACTGCCACGCTGATCAGCTTAGCATCAATGGTTATGTAAGGTTTGTCCACGATGACCGGTGCATGTGATCTACCAAGCTCTTGTGGGCTGGGGCTGGTGGGGTTGACCGACGTATTTGTGCAGGTTGTCGTTGGAGTTGGAGTCCATCCGCTTGTGCCCATAAAAACAAAGTTTGCAGCTCTGGATGGATCATTGAAGTAGAAGGTGCTGTCCACCTGTCCAAAGCTCTCACAGCAAAGGGAAAGGGAACATGTCCCACCCGATGTGCTGATCTATACAATATAGCCTTCTCCGTGGCCAAAAAAAACGTCAAAGCCTTCAAGCATGGTATCAAAACACCCTCCTGCCCCCAGCTAGTCACTATGTGGCCCAATCATTGCAACACAGGAGATTGGTCCAACATCAAAAGGTAGTTATGATGAGAGCTCGATCAACAACTGGTTTGAGCACCATTTTGGGTCTCAACATGTCTCAACTCAAAAAATTGCTGGAATCCAGTCCCACCTTGCAGTTCCGTATCATCCACTGCTGTTGTCGCACTAGATCCTCTGCGCAGAACAGACACACCCACAAAAACACACACACAAGATCTGCCAAACATTATATAACATGACATAATAGTAGCTTCTTGATGCATCAGCCTGGAAGCTATCAAAAAAATAGAAAACCCAACTTCAGTGCCAAGGAAAGTAGCTAATCGGCCGTCGACCTTCACGTTTGCAACAAAGCCGCCGCTCCCTTCGGATGGTGTCGAGCCTGGGACAGGCAGCTGAGCAATTGGGTCTGTACAGTCAGTCTGTATACAGTAACTATAACAACTTCAGGTGGATGCTTGAATGCAATAGGATTGGGACCAGGATTGTGCTCAACTGTCATTATTCTAAAGGCGCCACCCAATGTCAATGGATTACCCCAAAAGGTCAGGCCACTCGGCCCAGCCACAATCTGCCCAACCTTTCGTCACCTGGCATCATTCAAGCATGATTAGACCAAAGACTTAAGAATTCTTCAGGTCTCAAAATGGACATATAGAATCATGTAAACCAAAAACAGTGTCAGTGATCTTATTTGGTCTGCATGGAGCGCCAGTGCCTAGGGCCTAGGCAGACTGGTAGATTGCAAAGGGCTATATAATGTATAAATGGGAAAGGGTGCAGAGTTGTAGGGATTGAGGCGCTCTGCAGCCGTCTCCATAAAGAGCTGAAGGCGCTTTTCAATAATATAATATAACTTAACCTCCTAGTCCCCCCATGTTTTGCCATGTCTCGTCGAACAAACTATGCAACCTCCATCTTTTTTTCAGTCTGAGGAGCCATTGTAGGTGCCAAAAAGCAGGTCTCCTTTGACGTAAGCTCGTCGTAGGGGAGCGGCTTGTGAGACGGACCAAGAGGTGCTTCCGGAGCTGGGCTTGTTGGCAAAATTCTCGGCCGCCTGGCATGAGGTGCTGGCATTCGTGTTTCGTCGTGTTTCATAATGTTGGAGCTGGGCATTCAAGTTGGTCTGGTTTGGAATGCGAAAGACCTCTACATACATGGACGCATGTTTAGCGAGATGTTTTCAGCACTTTCACTGGCAGGTGGCTGAAGCAGGAGTGTGGGCGTGGAGTGCGCATCTAATTTGGCCAGTGGCAGCTTGCACGAGGGCCGTGCCTTCCAGAAAGTGTTGAAATTGTTGTTGTCATCCTCGCTGGGCCCATACAGTCCCCGCGTACCAGTGAAGGATACATCTTTTGGCCGCGCTCCCAGGCCAATGACCTACGCTTTCCAAACAAAAGCCTTCCAAGTACAGCCTGTCCATCACCTGAAAATAGAATAGACCATAAACAGCAACAATTAACCACAGCTGGGCCACTTGGGTGTAGTAGCCCACCGGCACATCCAGCTCATAACGTCCAGGCTTGAAAAGGAAGGCGACACGTTCCGAGCTAAATTTCCCGGTCTCCAGCGGCCCCAGCACGGCAAAGGTGTCCATGATGGTTGCGTTCACTTGTTGGATTGTGTCAGGATTATCATCAAAGACATGCACTGACGATGGCCACTGAGGTGGGTTTTCTTCCTTTGAAGAAGCTTCCTGAGTCGAATGCAAAGCCAGTGGGGTGAACTGTAACGAAGTAACAAGCGTTGCAATTGAAGGGAGGGAAGTCACAAAATGGTCTGTAGAGATAGACTGTTCGCGCAACAGTATCAACCGTGTGTGCAAGCTGTCTACTCGCTTGCACCCTCAGGCCGTGAGAATTTCTGGTATTTCTGATCGGCGAAGCTTCCAACATGAGCTCCCTGTGCATTCCGGCACGCTGAAGAAGGGCCATATCATCTCCTGCGATCTCAATGGTCCGCTCTACAATGTTTCCCCCAGCCTTCAGGCATACTCCTGGAACAACAGGTGATGCAGCTGCAATTGAATACAGCACGCGCTGCTGAGCTCGCGAGAGGAAGCTGAAAATGTGTGGTTAACATTGTTTAACTAGAGCATGGTCAACATACTGCCAAGCTCTTGAATAGATTGCAACAATCCTGGAGAAACAACAAAACATAACAAAACTATATGGGATATAGGGGTTGAACCTTTTATGTAGTGTAGAACATAGAAAATAGAACAATGTGTGATCCTTCCTTCCGCAACACTGATGTCCCAGAGCTTGTCCCTGGCTTCGGGGAAATGAACTGACTTCCAGTTGAGTCCTTCTGCTTGAGCATCGTGTTCACAGGTGGAAGAAGAAAAAGCGTCACTCGCATAGGTGCCGCACCAAGCGAGCAGTTGCACCTGGCTGGCACGAGAACAGCCCATTGAGCTGTCACGTGCCCACACGCGGCAATCTTCTCAATCAGGGTCGCCGAAAAGCAACAAACATGCAAATATGTATGCATATCATGTTATTTTGTTATGCCAAAATGCATAAGCACGCCATACATGGATTGAATATGATTCAATGTGTTTCCCCACAGGCCTGCAAGATCACACTGCTGCTTCTGAGCTTCATGGTGACTCTTGAACAGCTTGAGCCAAAATTCACTTGCTTCGGTTGGCTTCCTTTCGGCGCTCTGCTCACCTGGCCTATGCCTATGCCTGGCTGTGGGGAGTTTCGTAGCACCCATCTTGGAACTAAAGAGCAAAACTGCCTACACCACTTCCGGCGAGGTGGCTATGTATGTATGTGTGTATATGTGTGGGCACATGTTCTCCACGCAGCCCATTCGTGTCCAGTTCAGAGGTCATTATAAATATATATATATATATAAGTAAGAGGTTGGAACTGGTTGCAAGTTCTTCAAGTAACGCGTCCAAAATGAAGCATGTGCTCGTCATTTCGACAGCCTGATGTCATGCGCGCACTTAAACTGCTGCCAGCGCATTGGAGTTTCAAACCCTCCCCGGAAGCCGCAAAGAACGGCTGGCCTATTTTGCTCCCTGCACGAAGCAAGCATCGCAGCGATCATTGCCTGGTTCGACTTGAGCAGTTTGGTGGATGCCCTTGATGCACTGGATGCACCAATGGTCAATCTCTATCAAATTGCGTGCTTCCTCACTTCACGGATCTTGGATGATCTTGGTCTTTGCGACTTGACCACCTCTCAGGCCCCATGAGTCTGATTTCATGGCTTCCGCCTCCAAGTCGAAAGCAGTGATTGATGACAATGGTCGCCCAGTTAGAACAAATCAGTTGAAGATTTTGGGATCATTGGGCCACGGCCATCGATTGTGGTAGCTCCAACTGTTCGATCAAATGAATCCATAAAGGCTTGTCGTCTGCAATGGCCCGCCTTTGCAGGGCTTCGGACATGGCCGGGCCGACGTTTGCCTTGGAGAGAGGGGGGCCACACCCTTTACTTGTTCGTTTTGCTTCCTTGCTATAGGAGCCCCAAGCTACAAAGAAAGAGGGCGGAGACTAGAAAGTACTACTGGTCACTAGTCGCAACTAGGCAAAAGGTCAACGGCGCTCGTTCTCATAATTCTGACAAACCAGAATCGAATTGATGTGATTTACCAACTACACTGCCGTAGAGTCCCATGCGCCGAGCCCGCGCCTTTCAACTTCGTGTGCTGCGTCCGGATTCTAAGAGATCCAGGCGTGGGTCCTGCATGGCTGGAGCTCGACGTCAACATGATGTCGTCAACGGGCTGGCTCGCATGGGCGTAACCACGGCGATACCCCTATCAATCACCTGCCTCTTGCACGCGCAACATAGGAGATGGCAAAGCTCCCGGACCCGGCTGCGACCTGATGGCAAGAACTAGCTTCCCTGGCCACATTCGACAAACAAGCACCTCATGTTGTGTAATGCGGTTGGTGGCTGGAAGATCTTGGCTACAAGTACTGTAAATAGCAAGCGATTTTCTGGCAAGCCGTCGAAAACTACAAGGAGCTATCAAATGATCACAGCATCGCCTGGAATTCCTTTGTACAAAAAGGGGTCTTGGAAAGGCTGCCAGCGCCACTTTGGGCAGTCAGCCACTCAAAAGGCTAAAGAACCCCAACGCGTGTAGATTCCGAAGCACCTGAAAACGCATGATTCCGGGCCAAGCACAGTGAAGCAGCTAGCTCAGCATAGCTCAGCCAATTGACTTTGAACGCCGTCTGGCGGTCCTAGCCACATTGACCTCTGGACGCGTCCAGGCGTGCCGTACACTGGTCAGTGGCGCTACTGTGATCACACCAGGCGAATCCACATCACACTTCACGTTCGCAATCTCGCCCTCTACAGACTGTAGGGTTCCTGTGAACCAGTGCCCTTCATACTCCACCTCAACCCTGTCACCTGAAATAGGTAGTCCATTCAGCCGTCGGAAATGGCTCTCTGGATTGAAGCTTGGGACAGGCTGAAACTCCACCGCCGGCCACTTGGCCACAACTACAGCTTGTGCTGTCTGCCTCTGCACTAGGAAGATTGCAGGTTCTGGAGAGCAAGTCGGTGACACCACCTCTGCACCCAAGAGATCCCATGTGCTGTAGAGCTTCTCCACTTCTTCGTCTATCCCTCTGTCCCCCCTCTCGCGGGCTTGAAGAAGGAGTCCAGAGATCTCCGCCTGAAGCTCGTATGGGACAGATAGCTTCAAGCCATCTGAAAGTTGCCACGAGGCCATTCGATGAAGCAAGACACGGCGGCCTCCAACCTGAACCTCACCCTCGCCATTGCCACATTCGAAAACCACTTGATGCTCCAAGTTCACGGTTTTCACCAGCCATTCAAAGAGGGACCGCAACTCGTGGCGCAAATCGAGTGACCCGCCTCCAGCCTTAATTTTCTGAGGAACCACTGAAGGATCAGCACCGAGTGCCCGTAGCTGAACTCGAAGCTCTTGGGAGCGAAGGCGAAGCTCTTCAATCTCTGCTCTGAGCTTGTCAGCCTCATATCTCTTCAATTTCTTTGCCTCGAATTCAAGATTGCTCTCGGGTAGCGCCAAAGACGCCATTGGCGTGGAGCTCGAAGCTCTCCCCCAATCTTGCAACGCCCTAGTCTTGAGCAATGCATAGGAAAGACTTTAGAACATGTTCTTTGCAGGCACACTCTTTTTTAAACGACTGAGCGTATACATCATATATACATATGTGTATATACTTTGAAGTATACTTTGAAGTATATACTATGCGCAAGACATTGACACGTATGGCAGCTTCTCTTTGTCAAGGCCCTGCCGGTAATGCGGAATCCATGCCTGCCAGGTCTTAACCGTGAACTGCGGAACGAGCCTGCACGGGTTTCAGTTCACACGCACCGGCGGACAAGAAGCATCTATATATGGGATTCTGTGGGCTATTTTTAACTCGCAATGGAAGCCCTAATGTACAGACCTTGCTGTTTTGGTACCGATGTATTTGTTCGAATCTATCCCATTCATTTGAACTTGGTAGCTAGCGATGCCGAAGAGTGCAAGAAGAATCGGGAAGTTTGGCTAGCCATATTATGATGACATTTTTCAGTTGTCACGTCAAATGCTTGGACCATCATCTTCGTAACACAATTCCAGAAATGGACATGGTCTTGCTACTTGACAGTTAGAGTTGGATTGTCCACCAAGGAGCACTGGCATTGGGCCCGTCAAAGTCGACCCTCCATTCGCATCATTCACCCCCGCTCTCTCTTACCAAAAGCTTCCCATCACAGTGCGGAGCCTGCGATCTTCACAATTCCCTTTGTGGGCAAACATCAAGGGTTGGGTGCAAAAGGTTGATTCTGACATGTTCTGGTAATGATGCGGCTTCTCCGCCTCACATCAGTCAACAACCGCTCAAGCCCACAGCAATCCCACTTTGAATGCTTTTGGTTGTTGGTTGACAGGGGCTTGTTCTGTCCGCTCTAGTTGTCTCAAACACTGCATTGAACCCCTCGAGACATTTGTGGATAATGTGTATGTGTTATAACATGATGCAATATAGACTAGTATATTTATGTATTTAAAAAAAAAAACTATGTATATGCAGGATGTATATATAATATTTGCAAAATATATATATATATATAATACGTATATATATATATATATCGCACCCCCTACAAGACAAACTACATGTTTGGCCACTTGAATCACTTACATCTGCTGCTCACCTCAAACTGTGCAACAAGCATCACGAATCTCAAATGGACTTTTCAACGCCCAAAAACAAAAAGAAAACTGCAGAAACTATAGTTGACCAAACCCTCGAGAAAAAGAAACAACTGCAAAGACTCCAGAGACTAATTATGGTTGTCCAAAACCTCAGACCACTCCTCAGACCATGTCTGAGACATAGTCTCTGCAGTTTTGATGCCTTTTTGGTTTTCTCGGGGTGTTGGATATGACTCAGCCTCATATGTGGCAACTTGTACACCGAAACCTGTTCAGCCCGTTGCCGGTTCACTGACGTGCTGTCAGTCACCTACTCACGAACATTGCCTCTGTGGAGCCAAACAACATCCGTCTTGGATCTCCAAGTGCGAAGCTGCCATTTCGTCACAGCATCTGAAAAAAATACAAGCACTTTGTCAAAACAAAACATGAAAACATCCTTGGTGACTTAGCACCTCCCATTTTAAGATAGGCCCTGGGCGTTTTACAATTTTTATCAATCAATCACCCTTTTGCGATGTATACTTTCATGATATGATTGGACATGAGATATGTGTGGATGCGTTACTAAGACCATGCCCTGCGGGCCCTGCATCTTAGCCCTATGCCGACTGCAAGATTTTGCCGGCAAGGAACGCTGTTTCAGCATCTTGGATCGCTTTGCATCCTAGGACGGCTGCAACTCCTGGTCCCTCTGGACAATCTTTGTCGTCTTGCGGGGCAGTTGAGTTGAGGTCATCCGCTGAGGTGCACCTGCATGGATCAGAATGAACAATCCTGCTTTGCGTGCGCCCACCCAAAATCAAGTGGTACAGGACCTGTTGACTGCAGAAATGGCAGCTGCTTCTCTGGCCTTGAGTTGGCAGGAGATCAACCAGTAAAAGGATCACATGGACTCTGCACCATCAGGACATGCAGTGCTGATGGACCTGGACAAGAGAAGCTAAGACACTCCGAGTCTGCAGTAAAAGAAACACAGGAATGATCCAGCAGCAGCGGCCATCAATAAGCTGCGGTGCAGGATCTGGATGCGCATTCATAAGAAAACCTGCTGCACCTTCCATCTCATAATGTCCATGTAAGTTCCTGTATGTTCTTGTCTATTACTGTAATACCCGTGCAGCTCGCAGCCTTTACCTTGGACAAGATTCTTACTGAGATCACTGAGTAAAACTCCTTCCATATTGCTGATCAAACTTTGACAGTTCTGATGCCCAGTTCAGCGAAGAAATGCAATGGCACAACGGTGGAGCAAATACACCAGTTGAATAGGCTCCGGTCAAGTAAGTCCCCCGGCAGGTTTGTGCAACTCAAGCCGTGATTCCTCCAGCTCAACTGGTGGAGTCTTATGAGAGTCAATGAGGGGAGCAGGAGGTGGATTTGCAAATGACTAAACTTGAAGCGATCAGTGAACATCCAGAGTGGAGCATCTGACGCATAAAGTTCCAGGGGTTCCAGGGTATGGTATTGCCCACTGTGGCCCGCACGAAAACATTGACCTTGGCAAGGTCATTTGCTTAGTCCGCTCAAGCTGAGTGTTGGAGGGCAACTTCAAAAGATACAGTTCGTGTTTGTATTGGCTTTGCTTTTGACCTGCATGATTATTAACCTAGAAAACCAAACAGGCCCTAGTACCCTAAACAGGCCGTAGCCCTTCACTGTCATGTGTCCATTTAAATTTACAGCACAACTGTATGCAACTTTGATGTGGAACATTGCCAGCGGTGTTCATGTAAATATGAATGCAAGTTTGCATCAAATAATATACATAAGCATGTCTTCAGCCCTCCGTTTTCCCAATCTCAATCTCCAAGTTTCTTGCACTACGTGGCAGGTTCTATGACTCCCTGTGCCATGGCTCAACCACGAATCTCCTGATCTTTTGTATCAATAAACAATGAGTCCACCTCAAAACAAACATGAAAGGAAGTGAAAGCAAATCATTGCCAGAGCCTTCAGAGTAGGCAACGTAAATTTGTACAGTACTGTACTTAAATTACATCGGAAGAGCAGGAAATGCTCAAAGTGCCACCTCACACCATTGTAGGGCCGCAGCTTCTAGATTCTAGAAACCTTTGATCCGACATGATCATGCCCCAACCAAACCTACTCTAACTGACAAAACTCCAAATGCCACGCTGTACTTTCACGACTGAAACCAGGAAAAAGTTGAATGCCAAGTGTTGCATTTATTCTTCGGACAAGACGAGACGTCCCAGAAAGAAATCCTGCAGTCTGGCACCTGCAGCACCAACGAGGACTCCATATCAGCGCTCAATCGCACCGTGCTTTGCACAAAGGAGCATCCAGCGGAGTTGTAAACGGTGAACACACTTCAGAAGAACATCTGGCAACGCCGAATGCTACATTCCACAGAGGGTAGTGATGAGGGATTGTTTTAGGTTCTTGTTGTATGGGGTTGAGTTGTGGCAATGATTCAAATGAAGGGAATTGACCATCACAAACACCCATGAGGTGCTGACTCTTCATCGCCATGTCAATGTCTCTCTTTTGTCGACAAGCTGGTGACGAGCTTGAAGCTAAAATCCAAGTGGTCAGCTGTTTCTTGTGAATGAATGGTCAAGAAACGCCGTCTAGTCTGACTTGACCACCGGATGTATATATATAGTCTAGTTTACCTCTCTACCTGCAAATACTTACTCTCACGTCACATGTCCGTCGAGTCATGTCTCGTCTCAGTCGGCAAAGACCGAATTGATGGCTTCTTTGAGAGCCTGGACTGCCTGCATTGTGGGATGGGGCCTTGAATACATGGGTATACCCCTCCTGAAATAATCATAGAAGTGGAAAACTACCTGTTTGTAGAGAAAAATTGCCATCCAGCAGGCCCTTTTCCACTTCCATGAATATTTCAGTGTACGTATAGCTATCAGCTGGATGATAAAGAAGAAAAACGGAGCCCTTCTTCATCATCCCACATGTCTTCCCTTTTGTGGCTTGTTTTGGCAATTTAAGATCCCTTTCCGATTCTTTCTCGTCCTCAAAAGATTCTTTCAGCCTGACCCCCTCATGGATGACTCAAAGTGCTTCTGAGTTTCGCTGTGGTTTACAGAATCTCTCTCTGTGTGCGGGTGTAAAAATATGCCTCTCATTGTCTCCAGGTCTGGCGAGATGCGGTTTAACTTGACTTCCACGTACCCTCTCCACTTCACTTGGGTCAATACACACTTGAGTGCATGAAGCCCTCCACATTACTGGTCGCCACATTGGTGGCACCAGCTGCACTAAGACTATACTACTCACCGCCAAAGAGAATCTCCTCCTTCACAGTCTCTACTTCACCAGAGGCAACGATGGTTCCTGGACAAGGGTCCAAAAGCATGTCACTACCCCACCAGCTGCCTCTGTCAAGAAAGACATGTACAGTGTTTGGCATGCGTAGTAGTGCCTTGAATCAGCCCTGTCAACATACCGCAGAGAAGAATTCAACATAATCCCAGCCTCATTCCATGTGTATATATATATATAAAAGCAAAGTTGTTCAATCCATTGTGCAATAAACATCAAATGGAATCCTTCCGAAGCAACATCCCAATTTATACACATGGGTAAGAAGCAAAAGGAGCTAAGTGAGTGAGTTTATTCAGAGAAAAAACACACACACACACACACATATATATATATATAGTCTACATATACCAACATGATCCAACATGTTGGAATATCAGTCCAGCGGTGGCAGAAGCGAGTTCATTCCCCACCCAACGACCCCTCCGACTGTATTGTCACAAATGCTCCCCCAAACTGAACGGTCAGCAAACTTATATTGTTTGCATCTTCACTGGCTTCAGCGAAGCTTTTTGACATTTCTTGGACAAGACTTGAGAAGACTTGAGAAGAAACGTGGGCCAACAAGCGGATGCCACATCGGTCAACCGCGCCAAGTCAAGTCCTGGAGGTAGGCTGCTCACTTCCGAACGGTGGATACAGCGCCACCTCAGACGTACCAAAGCTCCGGTCCAACATGACCAATATGATGTCCTACAGTCGTTCCCATGGCTTGCTCTTTCCCAAAGCCACTTGGGCTCTTGGTCTTCATTTCAGTGCCTGTGTTCAAACATGCTGCGAAGAATATGAGCTGCCCAGCCAATCCGATGTCGAAGCACGTACACAAACCTCTTCAGGTCTTTCACCTCCACCTTGGTCACTGGTCTGGTCGCGAGAACTAAAAACCTATAGCCTATAGCACTGCACGAGTTGCAACCTGCAGCTGTTCATTTAACATGAAATTTTGGTACATGCAATTCTTGCACGCAAACACCAGGATATGGGCAGCGGCATGTGTTTTGATGACCATATGGCACTTGCATCCTCACGACACAGGGGACGTCATGCAGGGATGGCACAAGGTGACCCCAGCGAGCTACCTCTGAAACCGTTTCATCATTGCTGAGCAAAATGTAGCAAAATTATCTTTATGAAGTTCAATCCCGGCCTCATCAGCAAATCTGGATCAAGAAAAAGGGCAATGGCAATGGTCCGAACCTGAAGCTCCCTCCATTGAAGGGAAAAGATTAAGTTTTTCTTTGCAGCGTGTTGGAGTGCAGAAGCTTGAAGCAGCTCCTCCGCTGAACAGGAGCATCCAAACAGTTAGTCACAGTTAGTGCAGGAACACATGTGTACCTGTCGGAACTTCAATCACGCCAAGCTTTCGGCTGCGTGGTCTCCCCATCTGTAGAGCCAAAACCTCACAAAACGAGTCTCATGATATCTCATGAACCTTCCGGGCCAAAGCAAACTTGTACATCCCGTGCGCTTCCCAAACCTAACTGCCTGAGGGCTAAGCCCACCCACTGAGTCCAGAAATTGAAAGAAGTCCTGCCAGCAAGACTTTCAGGACACCAAGAATTTCAATACAATGTTCAAGTCAAGCTTGCGAAAAACCAGGCATTCTTGCGAGTGCTCGAACGGGCCACTGCAAGCAATTCCGACGATGGAACAAGCAACATCCGGCGACAGCAATCATGGGTTGCTTTGGACCAGGTACGAGTAGGTGTAAAGTGAATTGGGTGGCTGGATGCTTCAGGTGCCTGGTACCTCTCGCTCTGAAACCACGACAGCTTTGTGATTTCGATGTCATTCCTCATGGATTCATGAGGGACAGCAATCCAGATGTCGCAGAGATGGCGCAGCACACGTCACAAACAATTGGGGCGGCTCAGCTGCCTGAGGCCACTGCATGAAAAGCACCCGATTCCATTCGTGCCAGTAGGTGTCCCGCAAAACCAGTGCATCCTTGCAACATCAACTCTTTGCCAGCTCGGAGACGGCGTTCCGTCCAGAGGGATCACAAAACAGAAGCCGCAAAAGGCTTTACTGCTCTTATTCTGGTAGTTCGGTAGTTCGGTAGTTTGTTCAAGACTTGAGGGGGGCAAGCAATCCAACAATAATTAACCTCACGAAGGACCACACACGCAAGTTATATAAACTGAGAAGCGAGAATAGGTCCGAGATCACCAACACATCCAAGACCGTAGCACAAGGAAGAAAAGACGGGTAAGCAAACTCTTCCAGTCAAGATCGGCTAAAGGATGCAAAGTTGAGTCGTGAGCTGTGAGGCGTCGCATCATCTTCGTAGCCTTTGCATCGATGCCTTTGGACCTGAAAATGGCAGTCAATGCAAATGCTGGCACTGACCGAACTGCCATAATGATTCTTCAATGGTCCCAACTGACTTGGCACAGGCTTGATCTGGTGTGGTCTGTCAGACGTTTAAGTAGATGATGTGCTTCGGTCTTTGGTGGCCAAAAGCAACTAAGGAGCTCAAAGTACAAGCGACAGAACTCCCAGAAATGCTGGACCTGAGCGAGCAGCCTACAGCCGACTCTGAAGAAACTGCTGAGGTTATACAAATCGGCTCGACCAGGTCTTTAGTCAAACGGAAGGAGAACACTCCTTTTCGACCTGCTTCTATGGTGAGCACACTCCTTTGAGGCACTCTGGCTGGCCATGCAGCAAATTAAGCCCATGGAGGCCTCTAGTGGCGTGATTTCACGTATTTGTACAGCCCCCCTGCCTGATATGGTGCATAGGTCTGAGGTGCATAGCCCTGCGGTGCGTAAGCCTTGGCGACAGGCTTAACAGAAAGTCTTACAAACTGGAAACAATAAACAAAATGAAAATAGGTGCTCATCACAGGTGACTTTAGCTGGCAACATTATACAGCGCGTCCCTGCTGTGACAGTGAAACCCGCCTTGCGAACAACAATGATTCTGGGCTTCCCCCGAATGTCCACAAGAGCTTCAAGTGTATTGTGTGTTTGTGCTCAGCCTCCACATCAACCTTGGACATGTTGCGCCTAGATTCTAGAGGCCTAGGCTAAACCAACCCAAAAATAATTGAAAAAAACGGCAGTCCCAGCCAATCGAGGCAGCCTGTGGCGGAACTCGAGTCACAAACGGATCCGCTTCTTCTGGCGCTTCCACAGCTTCTTCTACAGGCATATACCTGCTGGTCTTTTGTTTCAGAGCTGAAAGTTGCCTGTAGCCACACCTGGGCAGTTGCGGGCATTCAGAACCGCTGACGTATTCTATGTTTACTGTAGTGCCTCCGGAGCCATATACAACTAAGAATTGTAATTATATAATTGATCATAAGCCTCAAAAAGCAATCATTGTTCCAGGAAACCATGCAGCCAATACTGCCCAGGCTGAACAGCCAAGGAGTTGCCATTTCCATTGGCCAGGAACTGCCAACATCTTTGGGCAGTCACTGCCATCTGATCGCTTTCCATCACCTTCGTTGCCAGCCGTGGGGTCCAAATATGTATCCAAAATACATCAAAATACTCCAGGAACAAAAAGTGGTTATTGGTTCAATGTGCGGGATACGATGGCATTCCATGCCTGCCACCAATGCTCCCAAGGCTACCAGAACAATGTAAGCCACCAGCACCATCACTGCAATGGTCGGTCGTTTGCAGCCATGCAGTGAAGCTGCCAGCAGTGCACAAGCACCATACCACGGTAAAGCGCTCAAGCCCAACGGGCCCAGGAGCACCAAAGCCCCCAATGACCAGGGTGCCCCGTGCTGTGGCAAAACAGGCAGGTCCAGGCTGTGACTCAGGAGACTTCCAATGCCCGTGACCACCAAATAACCTATCAGAACAGAATCTTTTGCTTAAAGCCCGCTCCCCTCCCTTCCTACTTAATTAAGTAGGCACCTACTTAATTAAGTCAGGGAGAGGTGGCTACTAGCATGGACGCAGGATAGCTCACGCATGCTCACGCTAATGATTTGGCTCCCAAATGTTTAGGGAAACTTAACTTTGGATTCTCTAAGCTGTTACTTTGTGGTACTTTGTCATGACTCATGACATGAAACACATCAGTTACAAATCTTGTGATCATTCTGCAAGTCATTGCCCCTGTGGTTCACGTGTATGGCCTGAGTCGTGTGGTGCATTTCTACCTACAATGCAACTATCTGACTGCACTCGCAATTACTATACAGTGCAACGAGAATCGAGTGTGTATTGCATGTGGTTACGTCATAAAACGAACCGAGAATAAAAGAGAAGCAAGGTTGCTAAGGTCGAGCGGCTGCCGAACAAGGGGGCAAGAGTCGCCAGCAGCGGCTTCCGCCAAGAGGTGAAGACCCAAACTCCGAAGGCGCTGCCGGCACAGTACCAACTCAACGCAAAGCCGGGCAGAGCCCCATCAGCAGACTGGGCCCAGCTGGCAATACCACAGTAAACCTCACAAGCTCTTCATGATCATTGGCATGTCCAATTCTTCTATAATCAGCGGCTTACAGAATCATGTTTCTTCATCTGAGAGTCCAAACTACAGCAAATCATAGCAAATCAAATCAATTCAGTGCCAAACCAGGTCATCAAAATGTTGCCATTGAAGGCAGAAACGGCACCCAAAAAGCCCAAGACTGCGCCAATGAGCACCTGCAGTTTGAATGCACCAAGTTGTCTTGATCCCATCGAGCTCCAATTATGGCATAAGCTCGTGAATGAAACTCAAAGTGAAACTTGGATGTCCTATCCCTTGTTGCCCTTTATGCTGAGTGAGCTGCTGACGACTTGCAGTTCCAACATATTCAATATATGTTCGAACTTTCATTCCACGGACCTGCGATCCTTCGAAACCGCTGTGGGCTGCCAAGGCTGCCGTCCCTCCAGCTGCCAGCATCAATAAGAGCTGTCCGATCAGGTTCGGGGCCAAGTTCCAGTGCTCTGCCTAGCTCTCATGGGTAGGGTCTCCAAAAAGGGCCACAAGCAGCAAGAACGCGTGGCATTGTTGCACTATGTTGCACTGGTCCAGAATGTCCAAGAAAGGCTCATCAAGAAGTCTCAAAAATATTTTGTCTATAAGCAATGCCCTTGCTCCTAGTAGCGATGCCCTTATGTCTACGTAGTAATCTATGTAGAAGGCACGCTCATTGTGCACTGGACCTGACTTGGCACTTCCAGCCTCGAAGTGCACGAGCCATGCGGTGCCCAGGGATATTCCAGCGATGACAATATTTTCCCACAGCTTGGGGCCATCCCACGAGCAAAGACCGCCACAAAGTAGGGCACCAAAGGCAATTGTCACCTGCCATCACTGTGATTCTCCACTTCCACAGAAACAGCTTTCAGAAGCCCATCACTTCTCGAGGGCCCCTCCCACCTGATACGAGCTGTCTCTCAACCACTCACCGAAATGATTGCCATATTGCAAGGTCGGTGAGGTCTTCAACACCTCCTCGTGGCATCGGACATGCGCAGCTACAGGTTTCTTGATCAACTAGCAGAACTCAGAACTAGCATAGTTGGCTCGTTTCTCACACCCATCCGGTGATCCGGTGTGAGTTCAAGTGTTCCAGCACTCCTGACAAAGCTCCTGCGCAGTGGCGCCTGATGTCGGAGCCACCTGCAAAGCATCGAAGATGATAACAGAACCTCTGACAGAGTTGAACATGCTCGGCTTCAGATCGATGGATCCATATGATCAAGCCGCAAAAAATGGACTGCCATGCTTTAATAGACTAGACTCCAGACCTTTGATATCCTTTGATGGTCTTTGACGTATGAACCTGTATGAAGCTATACCAGGACAAGTCCTCTCAAAAAGAATGACCTGGTGCTAAGCTGAGCAAACCCTACAAACAGGCCTGGCGTGGCTCTTCTATTGTGGAGTGGACTGGTGCCTGGAAACGATGCTCCGCCGCAAATATCTCATCTCATCATAAGATATCATAAGTATCCAATAATATCCCGATCCTAACCCCTGTCATTCCTGACCTGACCTTGAGGAAGCAACAAACAAAAGCGTGCATGTTGTGCCCAAGTCTCTCTGTATGTTGTGTCTCGAACAGCTGAGTAGTTCAGTCTTTCTAGCTCAGCTGGAGGGTTTGGGCGCCGCTCTAGTAGATCTGCAAGCGAGGGCAGCTTATCATCTCCTGCAGCACCGAACCACGCAAGCTGACAACTACCAGGCTACCAATCTGCCAGGTATGGGGGAAAGCATGAGCAGTCGGCTGACACAGACCGCAAAATTTACACAGTAGTGAAGTGGTGGGTATACGGTATAGTGTATGTTGCGCTGGGGGAAGGCTTGAAGCACTTATTCAAACCTGTGCAGGATTTTCAGGATAGTGGTTATTCTAATGTCGAAGGACAAAATCGTTTGCCGCCGCAGAATCATGTGGAATCGCCTGAACTCACATCTTAACATCGCCGAGGCTGATTATGGGAAAGCCCCAATCCCTTTCCGCTACCTGAGCTCTACCAAGTGTGCCTGCTCTGCTCGCACTTCTCGAACATCTGCACTCCACTACATTCTTCATGATGCAAGCGAAAGAACATCTGCAATTGTTTGCCCATGTCTTATAAGTTCTTGCCTTTCTTATCGTTGTTTTGGTACGGTTGTTGCATGGCGTAGTCATAGTTGTCATTGGCTCTCTCTCCCCCTCTCATGGCATTGGTTAGTAACCTACGTCTCAAGATGTCTCAAGTACTGAAGCCCATGGGCCCCATGCCCTGTCCTTGGCCATTGGCAACGCTCAAAAGGGCCACCCATCTTAGCCAGTACATCTCAACATTCTGGTGCCGTCAACTCGAATTAGCTGAGCGGCTTTCTGGCTCATGTGCCTTGAGCCATTCAACGAACGTGTGCTTTTCTCAGACCCCACCCTTAGAAAGCGCTGGTGAGAAACATATCTTCTCAGCCTCAGAGGCTTATATAAGCCGTACAAAGGGAATGACGGTGCGTAAAATTTCCGGGAATTCCTTCCAACCAGACCATGGCCCGGGGGGTGGGCCACCTGCTCCACCACGCGTGGCGGCTGACGGCCCACTGAAGGTGAAGTACATGGCTCAAATTGTTCCCACATCGTGCCAAGAGCAATGCTCTTGATGACATGAAAAACATGCAAAAAAAAACTCATGTTGGTGCAAAGCCACGGTAAAAGTAAACGTTGCCGGAAAACCTAATGGAAATTACAATTTCTGCTTTGGAATCGGCTCGATTCAAACGGCACGAGGAGCGAGAGCGAGTTAGGCACGAGTTAGGGGAGGTCGGCAGAGGGTTGACCCAAGCAGCAAACCGCAAACCCAGGACCCACCAACAAACATTAGGCCAACCTTTTGGCATCGATTCACTTTTTTGGAGCGACATCTGAGACTCCCTGCAGCAGAAGCCTGGTCTCTTGACACATGTGAATAGCCGTAGACCTGCCAGTTTGCAGCATTCTATCAGTTTAAAGCGGCACTCAGGATCCAGTCAACATGTGAGGGACACATCCAGTCTGTCCACCTGCTATCGAATCCAGCATATAATGCATATTGAACAAGAATGAGTTGCACAGGCAGCAAGACCATGAATCTACATGTTGCTAGTGGAATGACTAAGGGTGGCAGTGCGGCCCGGTCTTCACGCCACATCCTCAACATTTGCAGAAAGGTGCCTTCTTCCAATGTGCGTGATCTCCGTTCGGCTTTCCCGCAGCATCATGTTTTTGTTTGTTCTATTTTCGCTTGTCTCCGCTGAGGCGTGTTGCCGCTCAAGCGGATCCGAGTGGAGATCTGCAGGAAAATAGCCATCCGTGTCCAAGGTCCAAGCCTCGCACGAGGTAACACCAAACAGGGCGGCATTTGTGGTGCTTGTTGATGTACATCTTGGCTCATGTAAATGCATACAGCACCTTATGTACATGGTTTGACTCGACAGATTTGTGCCCAAGGCGCCTGCGGTATCGTGTCATGTGAAACATGTTCTACACTTGATCATAGCCATAAGGCCGTGAGGCATGAACTCAGAATTTCACTCCGGTCATCCTCTTGTTTGCCGCTCTGGGCTTGCTTGGCTTTTCGCCGAAAAAAATGCTCAGCCGCAACAGCTGCTGCATTTGCCAAAGGCTTCTCTTGGCCTCACATGTTCGCCCTCTCTCAGATGTGGACATCCTTCTCGATGGAACTTCTTGCCAGTCTTCGTGATGAAGATGGCTTCCGGCAGCTCCAAGCTCTTGATGCGAGCCAGGTGTCTCATGATCTCCTGGTCCTTGAACTTGACCATCTTCTGCAGCTTCTCGATCTCGCCGGCCATCTCGGCATTGTCAGTGATCCTTGGTGTCAGCGGTGCTGGTCTCTCTGATGATGCTGCTGTCTTTCTGTCCAGCTTCATCTTCAATTCGGCATTCTCATCTTCAAGCTTCACTAGTCCAGCTCTCATGTCGCTGACCGTAGATTCGAGCACCATTTTCCTTGCATTGACCACTGTCATGTCATTCTTGAGGTTCTTCAGCTCGAAGTCCTTGTCATCGTACTTCTCCTCAAGCTTCTCATATTTATCTTTCCACCATTCATTGTCAAACTTGAGGCTATCGATCTCCTGTTGCTGTAGGTGGGCATCTTCTTCGCTCTTCTTGTTCTTTCGCTTCAGCGTCTCCTTCTCGTCAATGACCTTTCGTGCAAGATCTTCCCATGTGTCTCGAGGACTTGCTTTCCTCTTCCGTTGGAAGGATGCTCCTGAGGATGATGGTTGATCTCCTTCTTGATCGACATCCATGTCATCGTCGTCGTCGGACTCGATCTTCACATGTTGGATTCTTCTCTTCTTGCTCATCCAACTTGTCACCATTCTCTCAAGCATCACCGCCAAAATCACCGTGATGAAAATCATGAGGTACACGGAGAAGTAACTCTTCTGTTCTTGATTCTCCGGTTCAGTGGATTGCGCATCCACCAAAGTTCCAAATGCTAAAGTCGGCATCATTGCTGCCAGCATCTTCTTGGAAGTGGCAAACGCTGCCAGTCCCACAAGCACTGAAGCATGCGTTGTTCGCACCATGCTCTCATCCTTCTCTGCCTTCAGGATCATCTCCTCGTCCTTCAGCATAAGGTCGTGCTCGTCAAAGTCGATGGTCGGAAGAACCCTTGTCACAATTGGGTGCTTCTCCACTCCATGCAGTCTGATTAAACCTGTTGTCAACAACATCAGCATCATTTCATGGACCATGGACTTGGTGAGGGAATCGGCAAGCATGTAGTTCGTTGGGACCAATGTCACCATTCGAACTCTGCCATCCAATCGTGCTTCCTTTATGGACAAAACATAGAGCCGCTGTGTCTTGTCCTGAGGCATCGTCTTGCTGCCTGTGATGAGCTCATAGACATCTCGAGCATCTCCATACATGTCCAAAGGCATCTCTGGATTTCCAGCCGTCTGGATCTTGATGAGGTCCTTCAACGATGGAGGATGTTGCGGATGGAGCATCTCGCTGAGCCTGATCATACACAATGTTGCAGATTCCAAGGCGTTCACCATGGCTAGTGTCTCACCATGTGATGTGCTGTAGCTCACCCTCTTGGCTTTTGCTCCATGTGAATGCAAAACATGCATCACTCCTCCATGCATGAGCTCGTGCTCCTCAGTCTCGCAGGTGTGCTCAAAGTCAATCGTGATGTTCCGCCATTCGTCATCGGCCAAAGCAATGACTACACCTTCCTGGGCATAGTTCCGGCCCTTGCTGGCTGCCGAAGCATCATGAAAGCAAACTAGTCGTCGATGCTTTGTCCTGAAGTAGCGGTAGCGCAAACCAACATCTGCAAACTCTTTCACCTTCGTGAGCACATTGTTTGCCTGCTTCAAATCCTTGACCTCTGCTACTGTCACTCGTGATTGTAGTGCTGAAACATCCGCAATCACGTCCAGCCGTGTCGCTGTCACCCAAAGAAGTGCTCCTAGGATGGATCGCAGATCTGAGACTTCTGCTGGTGTCAATCTGGAATCATCTTCTCTTGCAGGGACAGGTGCAGGTGTAATCTTTTCTGAAAACTCCTGCTGGCTGATCATGTAGCCGTCTGCAGTACGAAGGTACTCACAACCACAATGAGTGAATGGCAATTGCTGTCGTGTCACTTTGCCAAACTTCTTGACAAAGGAATCATATGCATCGTCCAGCCACTCAGGCGTTCCAGTGATCGCCAAGTCATCCACATGCGTCGTGACCATTGCAATATTCTCACCATCCTTCTTCCATGTCCAACAGTTCTCATCTAGGTGAGATGGTTCCGCGCCGCTTTCTCGGATGAAATCATGTAGAGAAAACTGCCAAGCCAATGGAGCGTCATTCAACCCATAAACAGGCTTCAAACATAGCAGTCCATAGTTGTGCAACTCTCGTTCAGGAACCTTGAACTCGTCAGAGAATTCCGCCAGATGTCGCCAAACATTAAGTGGAGGAAATATCACCACCATGCGGACAGGCGCTTGAATGCCTTTCTTCTGAAGGGTCTTTCGGATCTTCTCAAAGTCAAAGCCCTTGAGAAATGCTCCAGCAATGTCCAAGCTTTCCAGGCTCATCTTGCGTGACCATGATGCTCTGGATACCAGGATCCTTTGGCTTAGCCTTGTCGCAGTCGTTGACCTTGTCGTGAGCTCTCCTTTCTGTCCATCCAAACAACCACGCGCACAAAGTCGAGACTTGATGCGAATGCTCTTGTCAGGATAGCGCTTTCGCTTGCGAACCCACCGTGCATCAATCTGCACGTACTCTCCTGTGATCTTCATCTTGTGGATCTTTGCGAATGCTTTCTCGTCAACAAACTGCTTGATCTCGTTGCGATCAGCTTCTTCAACAGCAGGCCAAATGTCGGCCGTGATGTCTGCTTCTTCAATGTTGCGAGTCTCCTGATCTACCTGGTAGATCTCTGCAGTTCTGAGGCATGCGTATGCTTGATGCGTCCTTTTGTAGTGGAAGTGGAACAATTGAGGAAGCTTCTCTTTCTCCCGGAGATGTTGTTCCACCATGAACTGATTGCATACCTCTGACCACATGTGACAACCTGTCAACCAATCATGTCCACAATCGATCTGAATGATGTGGTTCTCAGTCATGTTGACACGCAAGTGTCGTAGAAAATCGAGCTCTTTCTTCACATTGTATATGCGCTGCCTCTTCTTCTCAGGTGCCATGACCACTGTTCTGGTCTCTGGTGCATCTCTCTTCTCGCCTCTGTCATCGGGAACGTTGACGTCCATCTTGTCGTCATCCTTATTGATGGTCGACTGACTTGCTGGCTCTTCCACAGGATCAGGATGATAGTGGAACAAGTAGATGGTGCACATCTCTTCACGAGAGTAGTTGGAAATCCTCTTCATCTTCAAGAATCCGTCGGAGAAGTGCTCTTGCACGGCGTAGCCTTGTCCTCCATGAATCCATGAGATGAGATGACCAACTGTGTTCGATGGAGGCTTGATGTTCCGCAAGCTTCGTCCAAGTAGAACTCCATGGACTTGATGCTTGCTCAAACCTTTGTAGATGTGCTGCACCCACAACATGATCTTCCTTGCATGATCATCCTCACGAGGGAAGAATCGCCACTTGCCATTTCTCTTCAGCCAACCATAGATGTTCGTCTTGTATTCTGTGAGGCTTTCGACAAATCTCATCAACTTCCTCAAGGCATCTTCTGTCTCCATGTTCGGCAAGGTGAAGTGGAAAATGCCCTTATAGGATCGGATGTGTCTGAGTGCTACCAGATATGGCTTTCCTTGATATTGGATGATTGCCACACCGTCATCAGCGTCCAGTCGTAGCAACAAAGCAGGTCCACGCCAACCAGGGTCGTTCTTCACCTCTCTATAGAATTCAACCTCTGATGTACCAGCAATGAGCTGGTCGAGGTCGAGCTGGTGTGTCCTGGTTCTGGCTGCTCGTGCTACACGATCTTCAATCACAGCTTGATGAGCTTGTGCAAGTGCTGTTTGCCGGATTCTCATCGCCTTCTCAAAGACAGTGACATCTGTCTCCTGGGCTCCAACAACACTCATAATGCCACGGCTCTCAGGATCATAGAAGCCATTTGGAAGAGTGCCAAACACTGCCATGGATGGTGTCACGCCACCGTAGGACAGGGTGATGTTGTGAGCCATGCAGCTCTCCTGAGCTATCTCTTCATTCTCTGGCGCGAGGCCTTGTCGTTGAAGTTCTGCTCGTAGCTTGTACATGGTGAGCTTCATCAGACCCACATGTCGTTCCACCAAGCCAGTGCCAGTGTGCTGTTCGGCTCCATGTCCTTGTGTTGTGCCACGTGGCGCACGCTCAATGGAGAGTCGTTCAAACTCTGCTGCAGTCTCATGTGACATCAAGGATACTTGTTGATCGAGAACAAGTCGTCGAGGTGGTCCAAATAGAAAGATCCATGCCTTCTTAAATGCCGTCAGCAAATCGTCAGATTCTTGTCCTTCAATCGTCGTGCACATTTTGAAGCGAGTTGCTTCATCACAAAGAAGCATGAACCAGGTGTTCTCCCACATGAATAGGTCCATCTGTACTGATTCATTGAAACTGCTTGCTCCTCGTGCTCGAACTTGTGGACGATTGGGAAGTCTGACATACTTCCTGCAGATGGCACAGCATTGAACCGCCTCAGTCGCCAACTTGATGACTTCAGGTGACATTCCAGCTTTCTGCAGTAAGTTCGTGAAGTCGGAGATCGGAGAATGCCAAAGCCGCTCGTGAAGACCAAGTAGGAGTTGCTTGACCTTCGTGTGGTTCTCGTCTTCCATGAGCTTAGGAATGCGAACCAACACTCTTCGCAAGTTGTAGTTCGGCTTCAATGGCTTGATCTCCTCAACTGACTTTGTCTGCAGTTCCTCATCTTCATAAGGTGCAATCTGAGTTGGATCTCGTTCAGCTGGGTCTCCTGGTCGATCGAGTATTACTGGAGGTGTCAAAGGTGCTCTCTTGAGATCAGCTATGCTCTTCTCATCCATCTCGTCGAGGTTCTGGGCAGGCTGCACGATACCGGGTTCGTCAGGTCTTGTTCTTGGCCTTGATGCTGGTGTTGATGGCGAAGGTGCCATATCGTGCTCCACTCCATAGATGGTGATTGCCCAGTCATCCTCGTCGAGTGCTGCGTTGATCTGGCTGAAACTCATCTCTCGCAAATCTTCTGGAGGGTGAATGTCCCATGCTTTCACATTGCCTCTCACTTGCATCCGTAGGTATGATGATGTCAATGGAAGCTTCGGCTCTGCTGATGCAAGATGGAAAGGTCGGAGTTCAATCTTCACTCCTTTGACTTGAATCAAGTCCTTGAAGAACTCCTTGAAGAGGCTCATGAGCATAGGGTTGTCCAGCCAGTGAACATAGTCGATCTTTCTCCTTGCTGCTTCATTGAAGACACCCATAGTGGCATTGATGGTTTCGAGGAGGAGCTTCTTGAGCATGTGTGTAGTTGGCACGGAGAGCGCTTTGCTGGTGAGGTTCTTGATCTCCACGCCCTCATAGAGCTCCGCCTCGGCCTCTTGCTTCCACTTCTTCATGGCATCCATTTCAGCTTCAAGCTTCTTCTTTCTTCGTGGATTTTCTTCGGATGGCCATCGTCCATGTCGACACTGTCCCGGCACCAAAGTGTGCTCTATATTGCGGGGACAATGACGTCCAAGCTGGCATCGGACACAATCATAGTAGTGACCAAGCGTCACTGCGTAAGCATCATGTGGCCAAATTTTCAGCTTGAGTAGGTTCATGTAGGCCAGGTACTGGATGATGTCCCTGGCACATTCCTTTTGGGTAAACTGCTGACATCGAAGTCCTGGTCAGACCAGATGGGCCTGTGCCTTTGAGCTGAGTGTGTGGAACACCGCAATGACCTCCGCATCGAAGTCCAGTGTGCTTCCAACGAATGTTGGATCCAAAGCCAGTGGGCTTCATGATGGGGTAGCCGTGTTCATCTTGAGCTCCATGCATGCACTGGTCCACTCTCTGTCTGCTCTTGTTGCCAGGAATTCGTTGCAGTCGTAGAGGATTCTCTGGAAGTTCTTGCCATGATTGTGCTCCATAAGGTTGTTCTATGTTGTAGCCGCGGCCATTGGCATCTTGTCGTGCAGAAAGATCTTGACATAGTTGTAGAGCAGGTCTATCTTGTAGACGTTCACACATCTTCTCATCAGGATCTTTCGTAGATGCCGCAACTGACCATGGTGCACAGTCCGGAGACATATGAAGCACTCCAGGTTGGAACTCTTCGTAAGCTGCGTGGATCATACCACGATGGCTTGCTACCCGCATGTCCCAGCCGTACCGGTAGTCGACGGGGAAACCAACCATGAGTCCAGCAAGAAGCAACGTCAGCGACAATCTTCCACTGCCACTGAACAACTCCCAGAAGTGCCATCGCAATCCTCGTCCTCGAACTCTCTTGAACCAGCTGTCAAAGTTCTTGGGAGTCACCGGCGTCAATCCGCTCTTGGTGTAGAACTCCTCAGGGATTGCTTTGTATCGTCTCTTCAACTTGGCTTGATCTGCCGTCTCGGGGATCATGTCGCCAGTGTAGCTGAGGAAGACGTTCTTCTCTTCATCATAGCTTGCCTCACGTAGACCTTGTTCATCATGAATTGCCGGGGCCAAAATGGCAGGTCCGGCAGGGTGCTCGTTGATCAAGTGGTTTGAATTCTTCGCAGGCTCTTTGCTCCCGTCGTTCTTCATGCACTGCTCTGCCAAAATGGCTGATGGTGAAACTTCGTCCTCGGAGTCGCGCTCTTCTGCAATTGGTGATAGGCTCTTGTTCTTCTCGCTGTTCATGAGGTCGTAGGGCTCCTCGGACTTCTTCTGCTGTTCCTCATCGATGAAGTGAATCTTCCTGGAAGGAACAGGATTCCGTAGTTCATCTTCTTCTCCATTCTCGCAAGCCAAATGATCACAACCAACATCATGATCTTGGCTCTTCATTGGGCCTTTGTCTCGTTCATGTTCACGATTGTAATCACACCGGTCATCCTCTGCCGCCGTCTGGGAATGGAAGCAGTGTCTGACCCGTGGTTGCACGTCAGGCCAAACTTTCGAAGTGATCTCGGTGATCTTCTGGAAGAAAGCGATGGCCTCGTGCTTCGAAGCTCTTGGAACCTTCTCGTTCTGAACGTTGTCACAAGGCAGGATGTAGTGTCCAGAAAATCTCTGCGCAGGATCCTAAAGAACTTCACGTGATTGACCTCTGCATCCATGGCGTCCTTGGTGTTCAGAACAAGCATGCCATCACCATTCTCGAACCAATCTGTCAAGATTGATGCACCCAATCGACGAAGAGTCGGGTTGCCAACCAGTGCTGGGCATAGGCTTCCAGCTCCACCAATGACCTCCGCCGTGTAGGTGATGGGTTGTCCTGCGGTCGCCATGGTCAACGTGACCTAGTTGACTCGCTGTTTCCTGAAATGCCGGAAACTGGAGTGATCTTGTTGCGGTTGATCTCCATCTCGCCCATGGAGCAACTCTTGAGCATTCTGAGGGTCTCGCTACCAACCAGCCCGGATGCAGCTCCGGGATCGATGAGCAAACCATAGCGTTCTTGCCCATGGATGGTATGGTAGCTCATCTGTGTCTCTTCTTTCTTCATGTTGAAGACCATGAAGTTCATCTTGAGCTTCTTGTCATAGTGATCCTTCGTAGTATACTCAGGCTGACCTGAATATCCCTCAGTTGGCTTCTTGAAGTCCTCATCCTCGGATGACGTGTGGATCACGAAGCTCTCGGCCTTCTTGGTCGTCTTGACCTCCTTGGAGCTTGTGGCAACTTCTTGCGGAGTTGAGGCATCAGGAATGCCTTCGCTGATCGACAGACCACCACGAGGCTTGCAGTTGTCCTCCTCCTGGTAGGCGTAGTAGTGGCCTTTTCGACCAAAGCCTTTTCCTTTTCCTTTGCCTTTGCTTCTCCAAGGATACTTGCTCTTGCCTTTGCTCTTTCCTTTGAAGTTGGGTCGCCATCTCCAGAATCCTTTTGACTTTCCTTTTCCTTTGTAGTTGTGGCTGCCCTTCTTGTTCTTGCCCTTGCCAAGTGGACAATCTCGAACTCGGTGGAACTTGCTGCCACAGTTGAAGCAGCCGTCGTCACTGCCCTTGCCTTTTCCTTTGTAATAGGCTTCGTTGTACTCGCCCGAGACATTGGAGTCGCTTGCTGAACCAGATGTCATGCCAGCCTCAAGGTCCACCTCTTGCCATGACTCATCGCTGGCATCATGGTTCTCATAGTAGTTCTCGTCGTTGGCGTACTCCTCATAGACCCATTCACCTTCATCGGCCTCTTCATAGCCATACCACCATCTCATAGTCATCGCCCCAGTCCTGGTAGTAGGCGTCGTAGTCGCCATAGGACTCATCATTCTCTTCATAGAGGATCTGGGCGTCATCAGGTTCTCGCCGATTAGGGTTGATGCGCAATGCCAGAGCTCGAGCGTCGTTAAAGCGAGTGTAGTCGCCACCAACCTGCAGTTTGATGTCATCAACCGTCTTGGATGGCAAGCCAGAGTTCTTGAACCATAGGAAGAACTTGCCAACATCGTTCAACTGCAGTCCAGCTCTGTCATGAGCATCATCGTACCGGCTATCGAACTCGACGCTGTATTCGGACAGGCTGAGCTTTCCTCTTGCAAGGCCAAAGAACTTGTCCAGTGCTTGTGTCGCCAGATCTTGGTCTTGCTGACCGAATGCCGTGCGGAGTGCATTGGCCAAGAATTGCACTCCTGAGGGAATGTGGTTCTGGATGATCACATTGGTCGCTGGGTCGCGGACTTCATCCACAGCTAGTCGAACCAGCGCTGCATCGCCAACATCGAAGGTGCCGTCTGGCCTTGGCACTCTCAGAGACATGGCGATCGTGGATGCTCGACCATAGAGTCGTCCAGCCACCAGTGGACCGATGGCTTCATCCTCCACATTGGCAATCCGGTACCAAAGCTTCAGCTTGTCGAAGTAGGTCCTCAAGGGATACGAAGCATCACCTGGAATCCAACCCGGCGGAATGTCCCGCCGATACTCCTGGAGCGGAATGCTCCCAGAGCTGGGTGGATTCATAGTCCAGCAATCTTGTAATCGATGGAGTCCACGGGGCCTGTGATGAGGTTCTCAAGGATGTAGTATTTATTCCTCTTGGGTTCAACCCCAAGTGAGGTAGTTTTCTGTGTTGTTTGTTCCTCTTGGGTTCAACCCCAAGTGAGGTAGTTTTCTGTCCTCGTCAGAGCCTTCTGACTTCTCTTGCCACCGACCGAGCAGGATCTCGATCTCCTCCTCCAAAGGCCCTGCAGACCAGAGCCTACCGCGCAACTCGCGGTAGCAGCCAAGCCGAGCGCCAGCAGCCTATGGCGGCGCTGGAAGGATCGGCAACGGAGCACTAGGCTCCACTACCAAACTCGACAGATTTGTGCCCAAGGCGCCTGCGGTATCGTGTCATGTGAAACATGTTCTACACTTGATCATAGCCATAAGGCCGTGAGGCATGAACTCAGAATTTCACTGTTTGAATGTGTTGCTGTCCTTCTTTTGCTAGTGGGGTAGGCCGCCGAGGGTAGCATTGGTGGTAGTGATACTGATAGTGGCAGTAGTGTAGTTGTAGTTGTAGTAGTTGGTAGTTAGTAGCGGCAGCAATCGAAGTGGAGAAAGAAAAAAGCATGGAAAAAGAAAGTCATGCAGCAACTAACTAACGCCGACGACTTGTGGACTCCATACTCGCATTGCCCGTCACGTCCCTGCAAAAGGACAAACTACTGCTACGGCAACACCATGTTGCATTTGTAGGCCCAGACGTAGTCAAAGCCTTTCATCACTGGCTGCACAAAAATAGGACCCGACCTGCATGCATACTCCTACTGCACATGACAGCAATTCGAGAAGAAACTTGCAACATTGTTGCTGGAAAAAAAATACAGCGGAGTCACCCGCCTGAAGCGACACATGCCACGATACCCCACGCCATAGCCACCCAGTTGAAGCTCCATTCGGTCCTGGTGCTTCATGCATTTTTACCTTCCAAACCAAACTGGTGACTCAGCTGGACAAATCCAAGGTCTGGGCGCATTGGATTTTCATTGGACGGTGGCCAGGCGCAATCTGGAGATTGTTCTACAAATTGTGCTTCAGCCGGGGCGCTTTCAAGTATGCTGGCACCGACTTGTAGTCTGCAACGTAGGCAAACCTTGGTAGTCAGAGAATCAGAAGTAGCCGCTCTTCAACTGTCAGGCTGTGCTTTACTAGCCATCCCGTTTACATTCATGTGCACTGTAAATGTTTGAGGTACATGGTCCAGGTCAAATCATACCAGGTACACCAATTACATTGTCAAATTTGTGAGGCCCTATTGTTTCCCAATGTTTTGGAACCTTGCTCTGGCGGGTAGCATTGTTTTTTTGTGATGAACACTCTTATATACGTAGTTTTGTGATCATCGCAAAAATGTTGATGTCATATGCCTTACCGCGTTCCCATATATATATAAATACAGACCTATGATCCTATGTATTCTGAACTATTCTATCTATTCTTATGTTGCTTAGTATAACTATATAATACATGTGTGTGTGCTCGCAAAGGCCGCGACCAAATTCGATTTGCAGACGCCTCCATCATGTGAATGTGTCGCTCACATCTGCAACCATGTTCAAAGAAGGGCAGAATCGATATTCTGACTCACGCTCAACATGGACTGGTGTTCCTCTTTCACAATGCATGTATGCATGTTGCACAATAGGAAAGGCTCCACAGCTGCAAACATCCGCAGAACTCCCAAACCTCGAGGATTCGCTTGCGGCCTTTGATAGCTGGCCGCGGGAACAAGAAAATTGCATTCTCTCATCGGTGTTCACCAGAGGTCACATGCATCACAGATGAACTCTTTGGACTTGCGCCTGGTTCTTCAAACACTCAGCCTCCTTCGATGCACCCTAATAAGCCTTTGTAGGATGTTCCGGGCCCTTCAAGCTTGACTTCCTTGACCCGAGAGTCCTCGACCTTTCAAACATTCTCAAACATTCTTGACTCCCACTGAGGTTCAGACTCACCTTGGACAAGCCATCATGAAAAACTATCACGGGATAGTCCTCACGTTCATTGAACCTCGCACGGCATGGACGGTCAAGTCAAGTCAGGTCAACTAAAATTGAATGCTCTTGAGTACTCTTGAGCAACCGGGGAAAACGGAAGCTTGCCTCGTCCATAAGATCGGCAAGCTTCGCTCAAAGTCGGCCAGGAGCTTCTCGCGGTCACCTTGCAACGCAGATTTGAACATCCTCCTCGCCAGAACCCTTACTAGTTGCAAGGACACTATTAGTAGCTCCTGGCATTCCTACCAGTAACAAGAAGCTACTAGTAACAGTAACAACGGGCATCGCCACTAGGAGCAAGGACACTATTAGTAGCTCCTGGCATTCCTACCAGTAACAAGAAGCTACTAGTAACAAAGGGCATCGCTACTAGGAGCAAGGACACCACTAGTAGCTCCTGGCATTCCTACCAGTAACAAGAAGCTACTAGTAACAAAGGGCATCGCTACTAGGAGCAAGGACACCACTAGTAGCTCCTGGCATTCCTACTAGTACCAAGAAGCTACTAGATGCTACTAGTAACAAAGGGCATCGCTACTAGGAGCAAGGACGCTATTAGTAGCTCCTGGCATTCCTACTAGTAACAAGAAGCTACTAGTAACAAAGGGCATCGATACTAGGAGCAAGGATGCTATTAGTAGCTCGTGGCATTCCTACTAGTACCAAGAAGCTACTAGATGCTACTAGTAACAAAGGGCATCGCTACTAGGAGCAAGGATGCTATTAGTAGCTCCTGGCATTCCTACTAGTAACAAGAAGCTACTAGTAACAGTAACAACGGGCATCGCCACTAGGAGCAAGGACGCTATTAGTAGCCCCTGGCATTCCTACTGGTAACAAGAAGCTACTAGTAACAAAGGGCATCACTACTAGGAGCAAGGACGCTTTTAGTAGCTCCTGGCATTCCTACTGGTAACAAGAAGCTACTAGTAACAAAGGGCATCAGGAGCAAGGACGCTATTAGTAGCTCCTGGCATTCCTACTAGTAACAAGAAGCTACTAGTAACCAAGGGCATCGCTACTAGAAGCAAGGACGCTATTAGTAACTCCTGGCATTCCTACTAGTAACAAGAAGCTACTAGTAACAAAGGGCATTGCTACTAGGAGCAAGGACGCCCTTGCATTACCTGTTCACGATTCCACTACAGGAGTCATACTCCGCATACTGCCATAGATCTTGATCGTTACATCCCAGAGAACTTGAAGAACATCCTACATAGCCTATACAATTGGATCGAAATGGTGATGCCAAAGCAATTTGATGACATGTGCCACTGGAAACACTGATCGTGTACACTGGATTACACTGGTTGAATCTGGGACGCATGCCAACGAGATAGTGCAGAACGGCCTTGTATTTTCTTTGGGCATCCTGGCCATCTCTCCCTCGCTCTCCCGCCCGCCCTGGAGTTGTAAACGGGGTGCTACAGTTACAGCGAAAGCCAGGGAAAATTGAGGAAATGCCAAGGACACTGTCATAGACTTGAGGCAGCTGAAAAGTGCAGCTCAAGCCGGTCCTTCTTTCCATGCTGCACTTGCTCGCAGTATCTGCCACGAAAAGGTGGAAAGCACTCACAGAAACCTGCCGGGCCACGTTGATCTCAACATATCTGCAAAAGCTTGCTTGGGAGCATTGACTGCGCACATCCCCGTTTGCATTCATTCATGCTCACGCCACCCATCAGTGTGTTCTGGTGTGAGTCCAGAATGTAATTAGTAAACAAAATCAATTCCTGCCTAGGTCTGATAGGCATCGCCCTCGACCAGTGGACCTGGGCCCCCGCTTAAGCCGCTTATCACTATACGACGTTATGTGCATGTGTATATATATATATATTGAACTACTTGTTATCTGATATGTATATATCATATATAATATATAAGAACCCTGGACAACACAAACAGCAGGAGTGCAAAAACACAGGTGCATTGGGTACGTTTTCATTTATATATATATAACACCCTGTGATGTTCGCAACGCACTCGCGCCCGCTTTAGGAAGAAACCAAGCTACATTATGATCATCCCCGTATAGAGCACGGCCGGCGCATATCTTTTCCGAAGCACAGGTGCATCAAAGATGTATGTAACTCACTGCCAGTGAAACAAAGACCGGAGCTCTCAGTTCGTCACGAAGTCCAAGAAGTCACTTCAGGAGATTCCATCAAGTGTGTAGCTCTCAAGCAATAGCTTTCCAAAAGCAGTCTTGCACGGACTGTGCAAACAGAAACAAAATCACAAAGGAAAGTCTCTTAAAACACTTTCGACGACACCTTATTAGACCTGACCCCTACAAGTATATACAACTGAGGATACACTTTTTTGCACATGTCTCCAAGAGACAGAACAACCCCCAAAGCATGGAAGGAGTCGGGCGCAAAGAAAGGCGTCGACTGGGTCAGGTTGTGTAAAACAACACAGTGGTACTGCAGTAGATCATGATTTCGAGAGAAAGGAAGGTGCCGTGCCGATTTCCCCTTATGTTCCGTTTCATCATGATGTTCGCACCGCATGGCATCTGGCAGCAGTCGCAACATGCATCACACAACTTACTTCACACTGGTATATACTTAAATCATCTTAAATCACTCTTGCAGGCCAGCAGGACTCACCAAAAAAAAATGCGCAAGGAAATGCATCGAAAATAGGGCTCGAGCTCCAGCATGTACGCCTTTCCGTGCTCTTCCAGCAAGTCCTGCAAGCACACTTGTTACTGTCATGATGATTCTCAGCCGTCAAGAACATTCCTGCTCCTAGAGTCAGCCAGCTCTGTCTTTTGGGTGTTTGGGGCATGGACATGTCGTTAAGATGGGCGACAGTCGCTCACCCGGCCTGTAATTCCCAGCTGCGCCAGGACTGGGGCAACGGTTTCTCTGCCTGAAAGACGCAAGAATGTTCCGAAGGTCTTTTGGTTTACGGAGCCTTAAAGAGTGCTAGAGATAGAAGCAGCACCAACAAAACAAAAAAAAACACACTCAGCCCACTCTGAATTGCAAACTGGAAGCAGGCTGAGTACTTAGTACTTCGAGTTCTTTTCAATTCTTTGGTCACGCCTCGCCTCTGATCCGGTGGTTTGGCACTCTACAGCCCCATCCTCAATTGAAGCAGGCCAGGTCATGCCAAAGCCATATTCAAAGGGTTGCAAAAAAAAAACACATACGAGAATGTCGTTTTGCAGCATGAACGTGAAGAAGTCTCACCCAACAAACATGTCTGAGGTGGCTGGCAGCCAGTGGCAAATGATTCGCCTTGATAAAGCCACACAAATGTTCCCGCTGCACAGCCTGACGCATTGTCACCACGCTTACCAGCTGAAGAGAACGATGGTCGGAGCAACAAGGGAGAAAGTGCATTGCACACAACATACATTGGTTCAAATGCCAGTATATGCACGATGTTAAAAAATGTGTATACATATGTGTATATCTATATATTCAGTGTTTAAAAAATTTGTTATATACATGTGTGTGTGTGCATTCTCCGTGGGTTCAATGGCAACTTGCGCCTTCCGGCTTGCGTTCTGGAGCGAGGCCAACATCTCCGCACCAGGCGCCTGTGTCGCTCAGCGTTTGACTGCGGAGCTGCCCCGTGGATTTCCATGGAAACCCGGCAAGTTTATGGCGATTGGACCGGTCTGCTCTCGATTCCTTTCACGAGCTTTTTCTCTACCTCGGCTGGCAGCCCAAAAATGGTGCTCAATACATGCTGCCCTCTCACTCTCTCTCTCTCTCTCCAAAAGAAGTTATATATATATATATATAAGTATATATATACACACTGAGAAGGAGGGGACGAAAGCCAGCTGCCGCCAAAGGATTGTCTCTTTTTCTGGTGGGCGTCTATCTATCTATCTGGCGGGCGTCTATAGACATATAGGTTGTGGACTCAGCATCTGCTCAAGGACTCTGGGTGAAAGTTGTAGGTGAAATCCGCGCTGGTCATGCACCGGCAAACCGGAAAGACATTCGGTGCGTGTGGGCGCCGCGAGCAGCATCCACTCGACCGAGGGCATGGTGCAAGTAGAGTATATACTCGGGGGCAGGAGCCCTATGCGGATAGGTAGTCAACCTCGCAGGCACCCCCACCGAAACTCAATCCAAGTTCATGGACTTGAACTCATGTCGCTTTCTGTCCTCTATGGCCTCTATGGATTTGGCGGGTTGCGGTTGTCCTGGAAACTCGTATCCTACCTGCGGCTGCGAACTGCTCTGTACGTGGATCTCTCGGGTCCTCTATGCCCATTGCCCAAATACAGTAGCCTCCAAAGCCCTTCATGATGCTAATGATGCACTACTCGGCGTCCATTGCATCACTCGCATCACCAAACCCAATTTTCACTGCTTTTCGGACCCTCGCACCCCCACACCCCCTTAACTCACTTCGTTCGCCCTAAAGCTCAAGCCTTGCCTATCGGCTGGCTTTCGTAATATACACTTGGTTTACCATGGTTTACCGCCGCTCTTCAGTTGGAGGTGAACAATCCTATGTCTATCATAGCCTTAGAGTCATAGAGGTGCTTAGAGCTCT